ATGCCAAGTATCATAAGGTGAAGAAAAATACCTATCAAAACAAATGTCAGGAAGGACAAACCTCAAGTGTCTGCTCATCAAGCAAGGTCCTTAGACATCAGGACAGTTATCTGGGAAAGAGGGGGGATGAAAAATCTAGATCAGTGGGGTTGCTCAGTGTCTAAGGATTCAAGTTTTGAAATGGAAGATATGAATCAAGCTCCCTGTCCTTTGGTTCATTTCATAATACCACAGGAACAGGGAAAGCAATTTTACCTGTTTCAATAACATGTCTTATGTTTTCCTTTGGAATGTTATTTTCCACCGTCAGCTCTTCAAATTTCTTGTGGACTTCTTCACTCAGATTGTCTTCCTTAGCTGTTTTGCATGTGGGATAATGTGGAAGAGATTTCTGTTATAAAGCGTCCTGTGGATCCGAGGTAGACCAGTTGATCCCACCATCTCCATGCTCTGACTAATAGTACTTCCAGGTCATTTATGTGTGACATGGGAACATGGGTATATTCCACTTATGGAAATTATATCATCTTGTAGTTCTTAAGACAACTGAGGACATTCAAGTCCCTTTATTTTGTGAACTGAATCCTGCCTAATGTTTTTGTATTGTCAGGGGCTAAGCTTTGGGAATTATTCTATACTGTGGCTTCTCATTTCAACTCTGTCTACATTCTATAGTTTATGCTCTAGTATTCTGGACTTTTCATCCAATATTCAATACCAGAAAAGGGGTGGTATTGATCTAAACTTTCCACCTAGCACATTAGCATGCTCTTCTCTACATTAGCATGCTCTTCTCTGCTAATGCAAAAAAAAAAAGGAAAAACTAAAAGAAAGAAAGAGGGAAATGAAGAAAGAAAGAAAGTAAGAAAATCTCCTCCTTCATTTTTAAGGGTTTACAACTTTTAGGAGTGCCTTTTGATAGGGCATAATATGAAATGTGTCTCTATTTCCTAGAAGGCAATGTCTCAGTACAACTCACTCAATGGACTCTGACCTGGGAACACATTTCCGTACTACTATTAGTACTAGTGTTTAGTACAATATTTATACTAGCATTTGGTAAAAACTACGTATATGCTCATATTTTTCTCCTGAACTTATAATACAGAAGAAATTACTAAAGGGACTGGGGCAGTAGCTTTCCTTCCAAGGCCCTGGTTTCAAATCCCAGCTATACAGGAAAAAAAAGAAATGAAGAAATAAATCACTACGCTGTGCTTCAGACAGTAAACGTCACTTATACTTACAAGCAAGAACAGTCATGTGCGTAACCTTGCCATTTCCATCCACATTTATATTATAAAATACTACGACACCATCAGAGAGGTATTCAATTTGGAAGAAATTTTGCCCTTTGTCTGTGATTGAAAAAGAAACACTTCAAAATTCTAAATTATCACCTTTCTTAATTTTTTTTTTTGGTAACCTCATGTCATTTTAAACAGAACTCCATGCAGAGAACACCATGAACTATACAAACAGGGAACCCTTCTGAATCATCATTAATGCTCACATCCCACTTGGGAACCTGAGATGATATGAACCTTATTCTATGGTGACTCCAATTCTCACAAATTCACCAGCATTTCCAAGGATGCATGAGCAAAGAGAAGTTTGCTAAGGGTGGCCAGTGTCCAAACCCCCCAATGTGTGTGCCCACCAAGACCACAAATCTGAGCACCCCTCAAGGCTTGGGTCATGCTGTCCACCTTAGAGCAAATACTCACACTTGACTTCATAAATATCATGAGGACCTTTGGATGATCTGACAAAGAACTTCTGACACTCCCCATTGGACCTTGAAAACAAACCAAGAGAAGCCAATTGTTGCTCAGTTATTCTTGCAAAAATCTCCATATTTGACTTGAATGAAGGAATTATTGAGAAGGTAACTGAGAGGGGAAAATCAATCGATGATTTCACTCTTCCATGCATTCGATGTCTCCATGTTATGGGAGATTTCTGCATTTTCTATAACAGGGTTTCTCAACCTTGGCAATTACCAGCTCTGGATGGCATGGGTTAGGTTGTGTTGGAGACACCTGGACACTGTCAAGCAGTATGATCACTGGCCTGGACCCACCACATAATCTTAGCTCTCACTGCCATTGAGACAGCCATAGAGGTCTACAAGTCTGGCCTAGTAGCCAGTGGAGGGGTTTGCAAGGAGACTCCCACTTCAGGATGACAAGAAAAATTATGCATATGCCTATGCTTGCATAGATACTATATGTACGTGAAATTTATATGATATGCAAGTATACCTAATAGATGCACCTAATATTTATATTAACAATGTTAAATCCTTAATATTGTGAACGTATGATATTCCACCTAAACAATCTATATTTATGCATGTGACATTAATATACACACCTTTATTTTTTCCTGTCTTAATAATCAGAGCCCCAACTCTCATATAAATTCTGCAGCTCCTGTGAATTCTGAAATCTGAATTCCTCACACTTTGTCCTCTCTATATATCTTCTGGGAATTCAGGATACAGTTGCTTCCAAGCAGGGACACAGACACAGACACAGATTTGGTGCAGAAGTGAAGTAAGTTGTGCCAGAGGTGACCCCCATGGTTGCATTACATTGGACGATTTTCACTTACTTGGAGTAGAAAGTGAAGTCTATCTTCTTGCCTCCATCACTACAATCTAAGTGACGATAATGGAACCTCATCTCTCCATATTCACTAATCTTCTCTAAGTCATCAGCTCCCATGAGAATGGTGTGCCAGTCCCCAGTGACCTGTAAAGGAAAGATACCCTGGGAATGACTACTGGCTCCTCTTGTTCTTCTCTCGTCCACACTAATTATAACCATGACAGCTGGTTTAGCTCAGAAGAAAAACTAAATCCAATCATGTGGTCACCATGCAAGCTCTACTCTCCACAAGTTAGAACTGTATCAGCCAAAGTCATGAATCAGATTCCCACAGAAGCATGGAATTGAGAGGCTCTCAAACAACTAAACTACATCAGCAAATATATGGTAAGTAGTAGATAACACTTTGGCAGATTAAATTTTTTACATTTATTGACTTAAAGAGGAATGTGATAGTCAAAGAAAGAGTTGGATTACATCAATAGGGAAGGTTATCATCATGGATATAGGTGTTTGTGGACTGAGACCTGCTCATAAAGTCTCATGTCACATAAAATTGAGAAATGTGGGAAGAGAAAGAAAGAAAGAGAGAGAGAGAGAGAGAGAGAGAGAGAGAGAGAGAGAGAGATCCCCCAAGATCAGCCCATCCAGATACCTCTGCTGGGTCGACCTGGGATGAAGCACAGATCAGGCTGAATCCGAGAGCAAGCAGAAAGGTCTTCATCTTGATGAGATCAGTCTTCCACTCTACAGAAGCTCAGGGGAGATGGGTACTGGACAGAATGAGTTGGATGTCCCTTTATATCACATTGGTGACTGGACATGACAGGCAATGAATCCATTGTTTTCATCCTGAGATCTTCTGTCTGCTCAGTGTTTCCTGGTTGGCAGGGATGAGCTATCTAGAAACTCCTGTTCTTTACCTAATGCTATGGATACTGGAAAAGCTTTAATTTGGCCAAGTAATTAACCTTTATGTATGGCTCTTGCACAAAGCCTGTCATTGATCCCAAGGACAATAATGTTTATTTCCTCTTTGATCCCCATGTCTGAAATGGAAGATCAAAGACTAAACATATCTTCAAGTTCCTGTGTCACTTCTCTAACATTTTAGTTGAATGCTCACAGATACTTCTAAAATCAAATATGGTACCCTGTGGCCTGATCAAATTAGATTATGTCATCTCTACCTCCAATGCAAAATATCATGGCATCTCTGAAATCAGCCCAAGTTTAAATTTTTAGAAGATATTACAAAAAAATGATAATGCTAATTCAAATGCTAGCCTCTTGCCAATTTATGATTTTGTTTTTGTTTTTGTTTTTGTTTTTTAATTTTGATCCATCTCTTTCAAGTGATCTAGTTGAATTCCCCTTTGGTCATCAACCACATTAGATCAACTACAGGCAATCACTCTGAAAGTATTAGGACACTTGCTATAGAATCTACACCAAGGGCAACTGTCTTGATTCTGTCAGCAGCTACAATACACCTTCATGTTGGATTTTTGACACAGGATTTCTTCTAGAAGTTTGAAGTATGTTTTCCAATTCCTACATTTTTTAACAATTTTGCTATGGGTTTTGTACAAGGTGAGGGATAGGGGTTCTATTTTATTTTACTACAAATAGCTACCCAGTTTACCTGTGCCATTTTATAAAGCATCTCTCATCTCCCAGAATATATTTTTGGCAACATGTCAAACATCAGATAGCTATACTTATAGGAATTTGTGTCAGTGTCCTCTATTCTATTTTTGGTCTTCATGCCCATATTGGTGGAATTTCCATGCTTGGTTTGCTCTACAGCTCTGTAGTGTCCTTTTCAGATCAGGTATTTTGATGTCTTTGGCTTTGATAATCTTGCTTATTATTCCTTTTGCTGCTCAGGTTTTCTTATTCTTACAAATGCATTTAGAAATATTTTTTCCATTTTTACCCCAAGAAATATTTTTTTCCAATTTAGTAAAAATATTTCATTCATATTTTCATGGGGAGTGCTTTGAATTTATTTATTGCTCTTGGTAGGATGTCTAGTTTTGCAATATTAATTCTGCCTATCCAAGAACATGGAATGTTGTTCTTCTATGTTTTTTTTCAATGTCTTTCTTTAGAGTTCTGTGAATTTCTTTGAAGAGCTATTTTAACTTCTTGCTTAGATAATTTCCAAGAATATATTTTTGAGATTATTGTAAATGGAATGGTTTTCCAAATTTCTCTTCCTGCTGAATTAAACTATGTAGCAATCTATTGATTTATATGCATTGATCTTTTATATTGATACTTTGTTAAATTATTTATAAACTTTAGAAGTCTTCTGGTGTAGTTTTTCATTTTATAAATATGATAATGCTACCAGCAAACACAGATAATTGGCCTTCTCATTTATCTTTTTGTATCCATTGATTTCCTTTTCTTGCCTGATCACTTTGGCTAAAGTTTCAAGGACTATATGGAATAAAATGGTGACAGTGGACACATTTTAATGTTCCTAAATTAAGATGATTTTTTTAATTTTTTCTCCATTTAGTTTGAAATTGACCTTGGGATTATCATAAATGGCCTTTATGTGGTTGAAATAAACTCCTTCAATTAATAGTGAGACTCTAAGCAAGTTAGTGAGATTCTGTCTCAAAATAAAATATAAAGATGACTGTAATGCGGCTCAGTGATTTAGTTCCCCTTATTTTGTTCCCCAGTAACAAAAAAAATGTTAATGAGGATGAAAATATATTAAGAAACCCTATGTCACCCAAAGCATTTAGAAATATGCAGCATAAAAATCTCCAAATGAAACCAGCCATACATTTAACGGTTAACTTCTCCTGACCAAGTGACTGACCCAAGACATATAAGATGATGTAGATCTCGGATAATCAATCAATTTCATTAAGCATTTTATAAGACAGAAGATGAAGTTACTGTTAAAGGCTAAATTGAGTTCCCTGTCTGACAATTCCTATACTGAAATCTGTCCCTCTGGACCAGGGTCCCCAGATGGTAAATAAGCTACAATTAGGTTCTCGGTGTTTGGAATACTTCATGTGGATTATATCTGTGTCAAAAGAGAAAATGTGAACTTCCAAGGATCAACATGGACGTTGGAGAAGAGAGAGAGAATACCAAGTGATTCCAGGACAAGATGGTGGCCATCTGCCTATCCGGGGGACACCTCAGGTGAAGCCAGGCCTGTCCACTCATGGCAAGGACCACAGGAGATGCATTCCCACTGTCTGTGATCCATGAAAATGGATCTCACCATTTTTATGTCATTAGCTGTGCTACTTGATGCCTACATGAAGTTCACCATGCTTCATTTTGATAATAGAGAGTTTTATATTAGAATGTTCATGTCCCCCAAGCCCTTCCTCATCATCCATGGTGAGGAATGTAAGGGATGAGTTAGTGGCCGGGGCTGTCATGCCAAAGCCCCATACTGCTCTCTCACAGGGCAGAGTTTATCTCCCCAGAGACGAGAGGGCTGATGTCTGGGTACTAATAATCTTCACCTCTGGGCAGAAGAAACTTCTCTGCAGCTTCTGAGCCTTCTAGCAACTAAATTTTCTAAGAGAGCAAATTTCCTTTGGATTCTCTCCATTCCCATGAGGAACAGTCCAAGTGATTAACTGAGTTGATCTTCAGATTTCCTGTTGATAGGAGCCCTCTCCTTGGTTTCCTAAACTCAGAGCACCCTGATCCTGCACCTAGGTTTCCAAATACCCAGGGATCAGTCTGCAAGTATTGGAAGCTGCCTGGCTGGTGATTAGCATTCTGTCCACATATAAGGGAACCTTCCTTTATTTCAGCATCTTCTGATGATGGTCCTTGATCAAAGGAGACCTCTACAGTCATTAGATTTGGAGAAGGATCTGTCCAAGTCTGCAACTAGAATCTTCACTCAATGCTCTTTTCCTGCCTTGACCCCATATCTGATTTCACTTGTCTTATGCATAATGATGACTAAGAATGATAGTCCTGGGAAATGTGGTACAGATCTCTGATATCCACCGTTTTCCGCCCTCCCCTCTGATCTTCTCCATCTTTCTTTAATAATATATATCAACACAATAACCCTGCAGGGACAAGGAGGAACTCTCTCTAAACCTGATCACTGAGTACATTTCTGAAACTCTCTCCCAACCCCTGCAGTACATTCATGCAGTGAACCACAAAAATATTTAAAGATTGTCTGATATTATATAAACGGACATTTTTCAGACCAAACAGACTCTTCATCCTCATTCATGTAAGAAGGGACATTTCTATTACATCTTGTAAGTCTATGAATTCCTATTTTCTTTTCTTTTTTTCTTTTTTAAGCACAGTCTTCATACACAGCCTGGTCTCTTAATTTTATCTGATAAAAAAAATCTATTGCATCATAAAATAACACTTTTAATAAAGTTTTTTGCCATTGGTGATACAAAGATTTTATGAGTACAATCTTAGAGGAGGAAAATTTTTAGTTGTGTTTCATGGATTTAGAGGTTCAGTCCATGGATGGCTGACTTCATTGGCTCTCGCCCAATGGGAGGCAGAACAAAATGGCGGAAGGGCCTGGAGGAGGAGAGCAGCTCAGGAAAGGGCACGAGGAAACAGAAAGAGCTCTGCTCACCAGGGACAGGATACAAACCCCAAATGCACAGCCCAGGAACCCCCTCCTCCAGCCACACTCCACCTGCCTGCATTTACACTATTAGTCCATTCAAATGGATAATAAAACTGATTAGGTCACACCTCTCATACTCAATCATTTCAACTCTGAACATCATTTCATTGTATCACTTGAGCTTTTGGGTCCCTTCATATCTAAACAAGAACACACTCATGTATGTGTGATGTTGCAGCCCATCCCTTCATCTGTACTCATGATACATTGCACAGTTGCACAATCATCCTTAACTAAAATGGTCTCCTATCTCCTGTAGACCCACTGTTGAATATTGCATCAGAGTGGATATTTCTGTGAATTGAAATTGTCATAAACTTACCCAAAGACACATGTTTGTGCATGTAAGATCAAATTTATTAATCAATTAGGAATACAGGAATATCAGAAAAAATACAGAAGAGAACTTGTGGGTAATTCCTTAGAGAGGGCTTGCAACTTTACAGAAAAGAAGAAACTACCATTCTAATAAAAGAGGGGCATTTTATCTTCATAGAGATGATTGCTGAGCCCTTAAGAAGATAATGTTGCAAACATTCCTGATTTCATTAGGAACTGTAGGATTCAAAAGAAAAACAAAGTAAAATACGGCCAAGCGGGTCTTAATGATATGATATTGGGGAGTGTTAGAATGCAAAGGAAAAATCCAAACCTGGGTAGTGGAGAGCAGGAACGCTCACATGCAACTCTTTTCTCGGAGCTTATATGTTCATGTATGGGTTCTACAGGGGTCACTTTCATAAGAAACCTACACTTGCAAGGTCACCTCTTGTTTGAGGGAACCTAAGGTGCATGTGCATGTGTACAATAATTTAACATTTTTTGTGTCATGAACAATGGTGCATGCCTCTAATCCGAGGATTCAGAGACTGTATCAAGTGCAGGAGGATCTCAAGTCCAAGGCCAGCTTCTACATCTTAGAGGCCATGTCAAAATAAAGAATAAGATGAGGTATAGATGTGACTCAGTGGTAGATTCTTCCTAGGTTAAATCTCTGGTACCTTTCCCTCCAAAATCTGAAAGTCTTTGAGAAATCTTTTTTAGTAATATTGAAGATTTTGCCATTGCAAGGTGATGTATTCCCCAATGTTAATACTATGCCATTCTCAAAATGCTGTCCCACTGTCTCCCAATAAAAGATCACACTCTGAAAACTAAAGGGGTATTGTTTGATCCATGTTTTAAATGCATGTAGTCATCTCAACACCCTGAAGCAGGGACAATTTCACTCATTTATACCAATGTCAAGTATCATAAGGGGAAAAAATACCTAGCCAAACAAAATGTCAGGAAGTACAAACCTCAAGTGTCTGATAATCAGGCAAGGTCCTTAGGCAGCAGGACAGTCATCTGTGAAAGAGAAGGGAAGGGAAAGTCTAGATCACTGGGGTTGCTCAATGTGTAATGATTTGCATTTTGCAAATGGAAGACATTGAATGAAGCTCCCTCTCCTCTAGTTCATTTCAGATTACTACAGGAACAGGGAAAGTGACTTTACCAGTTTCAATAACATTTCTTATGTTCTCCTTTGGAATCTTGGTTGCCACTGTCACTTCTTCAAACTTCTTCTTATGTTCTTCACTCACCCTGTCTTCCTTAGCTGTGTTTCATGGGGGATAATGTGGAAGAGGTTTCTGTTAGAAAGCATCCTCTGGGTCCAGGTAGACCAGTTGACCTCACCAACTAAGAGTACTTCCAGGTCATTTATGGATGACATGGAAATGTGGGTAATTTCCACTTATGGAAATCATATCATCTTGTAATTCTTAGGACTACTGAGGACATTCAAGACCCTTTATTGTGTGAATTCAAATCTGCCTTGTATTTTTGCATTTTCCAGAGCACCTCCAGGGCCTAAGCTTTGGGAAATATTCTGTACTGTGGCTTCTCATGTCAACTCTGTCTACATTATAGAGTTAATGCCCCAGGATTCTGGACAATTCATCCAATATTCAATATCAGAAGAGGGGTGGTGTTGATCTAAACTTTTCACCTCGCACACTAGAATGGTTCTCTCTGCTAGTGCGAAGCAAAAGCAAAACAAACAAACAAAAAAACCCTTTTTTTTAATCTTTGATAAAATAAGTTTCAAGCTGCATCAATTTCAAAGCTGTACCTATGACCTCAAATGTTCAAATTCAGCTTTTGTTTGCTCTGAGTCAAGACACAAAAAACTCAGTCCCTGGCAGGATTGGAGTAGCATATGTGATGAGCAGTGTTCTTGAGTAACTTTAAGTTTTGAAACTATTCAAACAATTATGATAAGATGAAGGGTAGATGGTGGAGATCAGTATGGTCATTAATACTGAAATGAGTGAACTTAATTTGAATTTTAAGATACATAAGTATCTTTTCATATTATTCATTAGTGCTTTATAATTTTCTGTAAGATTTGGTTCAGCATTGCATATTCACAAGTATAGGCATATAATCTGAATTCAACTTTTAAAAAAAAGAAGAAAGAAAAAAAAGGAATTACTATGCTGTACTTCAAAAGGTAAATGTCCCTTATACTTACCAGCAACATTAGTCATATGAGTAACCTTGCCATTTCCATCCACATGTTTATTATAAAATACTATGAAACTATTGGAGAAGTACTCGATTTGGAAGAAATTTTGTCCTGCATCTGTCATTGAAAAAGAAACACTTTAAAACTCTAAATTATCACCTTTCTTAAAAAGTCATTTGGTGTGAGTTGCTGGCAACACACTATCATGGACCCTTTTTCCCCATCAATCTCTGTTTCACTAATGTTCCACATCCTGAGTTAGAATCAGGCACAGAAGCTGCAGAGAGAGGCCAACAATTCCATGTCCCCCCTCCTTGGAATCGCCTAGGCATTCGTGGAAAGTGGTTTCCTGAGAGCCAAGATCCTGATTGCAGGATCTACAGAACCAGGGTAGGTGGAGAGCTCACACTTTCTAAATCATCCCACAGAACCAATTTTCAAATCCTCAGCAATTTTTGGACCCAATTATCCAATGTAAGTAATATTATCATGTAATTCCACCCAAGTCAAATCAATACATCACATTGAACTTGAAGCATAAAAAGAGCTGCATCTCCCCCCCCCCTCTCTCTCTCTCTCTCTCTCTATATATATATATATATATGTGTGTGTGTGTGTGTGTGTGTGTGTGTGTGTTATAAAAATGTCACCCTTCTATTTTTTCAATACATAAATACATATATGTATAAAGATGCAAATATATGCATATTATAATATTATTATAATATACTTGTACCTTATTGAAACATATTGCTGTATATTCATATTCCAATGAGAAATAAATCTTATCTGATCAAGACTAGAATACCACATTGGACATTTCTGTCTCCATCAAATGAAACATGTAGGTAATTGGTCTTTTAATATTATAGGATGTGTTTTTTAAATTTTTGTTATGCTAAAGCAAAAAATATAGAAGTCTCTATTATTTGGGCGATTGTTTTAGATGAAGTTTAAATTAGGTCGAATTTAGTGTAAATATTTTGCTGTTATTTTCACTATTCTCATTTTTACATTTGGGGATTCAGACTGTCAGACCATAAATCCTTGATAGTGTGTCTATTACACATCTTTTTAATATTCTGATACTTTGTTCAATGAAAAGCAAGAGTGATCATATCTGTCAGAGAACAAGGCTAATTTTGCAGGAATTTAGGTGTTATTTAATGTTGTTTTAAACAGCTCTCCATGGAGAGAACCCCATGAGCTATATAAACAGGGAACCCATTTGACTCATCATTAATACCAACAACCCACTTGGGAACCTGAGATGGTATGGACCTTATTCTAACTCTCTCTGGTGACTCCAGTGCTCACAGTTCACCAGCATTTCCAAGGTGGCATGAGCAAGGAGAAGTTTGCTAATGGTGGCCAGTGTCCAGACCCCCGTGTGTGTGCCCACCAAGAACAGGAATCTGAACACCCCTCAGGGCTTGGGTTATGCTGTCCACCTTAGAGGAAATACTCACACTCGACTTCATAAACATCATGAGGTCCTTTTGTGGACTCCACTGAGAACTTCTGACACTCCCCGTTGGACCTTAAAAACAAACCAAGAGAAGGTCCCTTTTTCCTCATCTATTCTTGCAAAAATCTTTGTATTGGGCTTGAAGAAGACCCAATATGGATATCCCAAACTTAACTCACCTTCAACTTCATCAATAATCATTTTAGGGCAAGGTATTTGGGTGCCGTATGATCTTTTCAAATTTGTTTGTTTGTTTGTTTGTTTGTTTGAGTGGGGGGCATTGGCATGGGAAAAGACACATGTTTGAAAACTTCAATGACCAATTGGTGTGGAAACTCATGGTGTGAATTGTAAACAGACTCTGCTTCCTGTGAATGAGTTCTCATTTTTATTTTCTCCTGGGTCTTGGTTGAAAAATATTCCAGTCTTTCGTGATGTAATTGTCATATTTGTGTTTTTATTTCAAGGACCATTATACTTGTTTATTTACACACAATTTGAATTTGGGTTATCCATTGAGTCATTCTTATCTGCAATGATTTCAATTGGAACCATGAAGATGAGACATTCTATATAACACCTATATGTTACATTTATGTTTAATACAGATTTTAAATTTTTGCCACGCTCTCACAATAACCACACAATCCTAATCATTCTACAGATAATAACTGCTTTGTACAAATATATATCTATTGAATCAATTTTGTCATAGAAAATGTCAGCTGGAAAATCATGACTGACATGGATTAATGTGTAGATCCTGCTCTTTTGAATTCATCCTTAAAACTAATGGTGGCAATCTGTTGACAATAGACAGAGAATGGAAGGAGTCCAACACACATGCAGGGGTCTGATGGACCTTTGCCCTCAGCTCAGGATTCCAAGAGAAGAGTCCTTGCTCACTGTCTCGGGATCTCTATGTTAAGGGATATGGTTCAACAGGAGCTCAAAACCACAATCTCCTTCAAGAAAAAGAGAGGTCAGAAGACTCCATTCTGTGAGCATCATCAAGACGTCTCACCATGGATTGGAGCCCAGCCCACGTGTCAGAAGTGAACTATTCAGTTCCTTAACATGGGGACAATTTTCACTTACTTGATGTAGAAGGTGACAACTAACTTCTCACATGCATCAACACATTCAAGGTGACGGAAAAGGAATCTCAGATCTCCATCTTCACTAATCTCCTCTAGGTTATCAGCTGCCATGACAGTGGTACGCCAGTCCCCATTGATCTGCAAAGGAAAGGTCCCCTGGGAATGCCTACTGGCTCCTCCTCCTCATCTCTCATCCACACTTATTAGAACCAAGGCAGGTGGTTTAGCTAAGAAGGAAACATAAACCCAATCAGAAGGTAGCCATGCAAGCTCTGCTTTCCAGAGGAAGAATCCCATCTGATAAAGTCAGATTCCCACAGGGAGCAGCTAAACAATATCACCAAATGTATGGGGTCTAGTAGGTGACACTGTGGTGCCTTATGGCACCTTAACTTTTATTAACTTCCTTACTTCAGGAGGAATATGATAGTCACAGAAAGAGTCAGAATACAGAAGTAGAGGAGAATCATCTCATGATTATAGATATGTGTGGGCTGAGATGCTCCTAAAATCCCATGTCACTTAAAATTGAGAAATGTGGGAAGAGAGAGAGAAAGAAGGAGCCAGGAAGAGATCACTCCCAAATCACCCCATCCAGGTACCTCTGATGGGTCATATTGGGAAGAAGCACAGATCAGAGCAAATCCAAGAGTGAGCAAAAAGGTCCTCATCTTGATTGCAATCTCTCTTCCTGTCCTTTGGGGGCTCACTGTAGATGAGCAATTGGAGAGAATGAGTTTTCTGCCTCTTTATATAGTATTGGAGATTTGGCATGAGCAGCAATGGATCCATTGTTTTTCATTCTGAACCTTCTGTCTGCTCAGTGTTTCCTGGTTGGCTGGGATGGACCATCCAGGATTTTCTGTTATTTAACTAATGAGATTAATATTAGCAAAAGCTTAAGTTCGACCAGATAATTGACCTTTATATAATAGACTCACACACAAACCTGTCATTGACTCCAAGGGCAGTAAAATATATATCCTCTTTGATTCTGATGGCTGTCATGGAAGATCAAGGACAAAACATCTATTCAAGTTCCTGTATCACTTCTTTAACATTTGGTTTAAATGCTTAAAGTTACTTCTAAAATCAAAGATGGCACCCTGTGGCCTAACCAAACTAGACTAAGGCATCTCTACCCCAAATGCAAGGTAACTGGGCATCTCTCAAACAGGTCCATGTTTCAATTTAAGAAGACATTACAATAAAAGTAATAATAATACTAATTCAAATCTGGCCTCTCGTCAATTTATGATATATATACATTTTTTAATTGAGATTCATTTTCCTTCAAGTTATCCAGCTGAATTCTCCTTGGGTCAACCACCTCATAGATCAACCACAGCCAATCACATTGAGAGAATCAGGGCACTTGCTATAGGATCCACACCAATGGTACCTGTGAGGCTCCTGTAGGTTGAATTTTTGACCCTGGTTTTCTTCTGGAAGTTTGGAAGTCTCTTGTCTATTTCCTACATTTTTGAACCAATTTGATATGAGCTTTGTGCAGGGTGAGGGACAGGAGTCCTATTTTATTTTTCTACAAATGTCTATCTAATTTCCCTCATGACAATTCTGACTTCCCCAAGAACATATTTTTGTCAACATGTCAGTCATTAGATGCCTAGACTCATGTGACTTTGTCTCAGTGTCCTCTGTTCTATTTCTTAGGTCTTCATGCTCATATTGGTGGAAATACTAGGCTCCTTTATCAGGCCAAACAGACTCTTCACCCTCATTCATGTAAAAAGGGGCATTTTTACTGCATCTTGTAAGTCTCTATTATTTCCTATTTTCTTTTCTTTTTTTTTTTTTTAAGCACAGTCTTCATACACTGCCTGGTCTCTTAAGTTATATCTGATCAAAAAAACGTTTTTTCTGTTGCATCATAAAAGAACATATTAGAAATGTTTTTCACTGTTGCAACACAAAAATCTTATCAGTACAATTTTAGAGGAGGAGAATTTTTATTTGTGGTTCTTGGATTCAGAGGTTCATTCCATGTTTGGCCGACTCCACGGCTCTGGCCCAAGGGGAGCAGAACAAAATGGCAGCAGGGCCTGGAGGAGGAAGCAGCTCAGGACAGGGCACCAGGGAGCAGAGAGAGCTTTGCTCACCAGGGACAGGATAGAAACCCCAAAGGCACAGCCCAGGGACCCCCTTGTCCAGCCACACCCCATCTGCTACAGTCACTAGTCATTTAGTCCATTCAAGTGGATTAATCCACTGACTAGGCCACACCTCTCATACCCAATCATTTCACCTCTGAACATCATTCCATTGTATCACGTGAGCTTTTGGGTCCCTTCATATCTGAAGAATAACACACTCACATCTGTGTGATGTTGCAAGCCCATCCCTTCCTCTGTACTCATGATACAATCAGCAGTTGCACAATCATCCTTAACTAAAGTGATCTTCTGTATCCAGTAGACTCAATGTTGAATATTGCATCAGAGTAGATATTTCTGTGAATTGAAATTGTCATAAACTTATCCAAAGACACGTTTGTGCATATAATGTCAAATTTATTAATCAATTAGGAATACAGAAATAGCAGGAAAGGTATAGAAGAGAACTGACAGTAAATCCCTTAATCCCTTAGACAGGGTTTGCAATGTTACAGAAATAAAGAAATTATAATTTTAATAAGAGAAGGGCATTTTATCTTCATAGTGATGATTTCTGAGCCCTTGAGAAGATGATGTTGCAAACATTCTTGATCTCATTAGGATCTGTAGGATTCAAAAGAAAAAGAAATTAAAATATGGCCAAACTGATCTTAATGACATGATACTGGGGAGTGTTAGAATGCAAAGGAAAAATCCAATCCTGGGTAGTGGAGTGCAGGAACGCTCACACGCAACTCTTTTCTCAGAGCTTATATGTTCATGTATGGGTTCTACAGGGGTCACTTTCATAGGGAAGTCTACACTTGCATGGTCACCTCTTGCTTTGAGGGATCCTAAGGTGCATTTTCACATGTGCAACATTTTAAAATTTTGTGCCTGAAACAATGGTGCTTGCCTGTAATCCCAGGACTCAGTAGTCTGCATCAGAATAAGGGGTATCTCAAGTTCAAGGCCAGCTTCTGCGTCTTAGAGGCCATGTCAAAATAAAGAATAAGATGGGGTAGAGATGGAACTCAGTGGTAGATTCTCCCTGGGTTAAATCTCTAGTACCTTTCCCTCCAAAACCTGAAAGTCTTTCAGAAATCTCCTTTAGGGATATTGAAGGTTTTGCCATTACAAGGTAATGTATTCACCAACGTTAATACTATTCCATTGTCCATGGCTTCACAAAAAGCTCTCCCACTGTCACCCAATAAAAGAATCCACTCTGAAAACCAAAGGGGTGTTGTTTGATCCATGTTTTAAACACATACAGACATCTCAACACCCTGAAGGGGGGACCATTTCAGTCATTCATATCTATGCCAAGTATCACAAGGGGAAAAATACCTAGCAGAACAAAATGTCAGGAAATAACAAACCTCAAGTGTCTGCTCATCAGGTAATGTCCTTAAACAGCAGGACAGTCATCTGGGAAAGAGAGGGGAAGGAAAAATCTAGGTCACTGTGGTTGCTCAATTGTAATGATTTGCATTTTGCCAAAGGAAGATATGAATCAAGCTACTTGTCTTTTGGTTCATTTCAGATGACTACAGGATCAGGGAAAGTGACTTTACCAGTTTCAATAACATTTCTTATGTTTTCCGTTGGAATGTTCTTTTCCACCGTCAGCTCTTCAAACTTCTTCTTCTGCTCTTCACTCAGACTTTCTTCCTTAGCTGTTTTGCATGTGGGAAAATGTGGAACAGGTTTCTGTTAGAAAGCGTCCTCTGGGTCCGAGGTAGACCAGTTGATCCCACCATCTCCATGCTCTGATTAATGATACTTCCAGTTCATTTATGGGTGTCATGGGAACGTGAATAAATTCCACTTATGGAACATCATATCATTTGTAATTCTTAGGAATATTGCAAACACTCAAAACCCTTTATTGTGTGAACCCAATCTTGCCTAATATTTATGCATTCTCCTCAACACCTCCAAGGCCTAAGCTTTGGGAATTATTCTATACTGTGCCTTCTCATTTCAACTCTGTCTACATTCTAGAGTCTATGCCCCAGTATTCTGGGCCATTCAACCAATATTCAAATACAAAAGGGGGTGGAATTGATCTGAACTTTCCACCTAGCACATTAGCATTATCATCTCTGCTAATGCAAAGAAAAAAAGAGAGAGGAAAAAAAACACTCTCCTCGTTCATCTTTGAGAAATTAAGAGTATTTAATCGCTCCTTCTATTTCAAATGTTGATCTAAAACCGCAAAGGTTCAAATGCATCTTTTGTTTGCTCTGTAGCAAAACTCAAAAGTCTATATCCCCATCAGGATTGGAGCAGCATACATGAGGGGCTGGTCTTATTAAGTATTTATTCAAAGAATAAAAATCTAAGTTTGGAAAATATTGGAACAATTATGATAAAACAAAGGGTTTATAGTGGAGATCACTGTGGTCATTAATACTGAACTGAGTGTACCTCAATTGACTTTTTACATGTACATAAGTATTTTTTCCATATTGTTCACTGGTGCTTTATAATTTTCTATAAGGTTGGGATTCACAATTGCACATTTACAAGTATTGGAATATAATTGGAATTTTACTTTAAATTTTTGGCTCATTAGGTGCCAAACACCCAGTTATACTACTGTGTATACCACTATGAGATCTGCAGAATGTGGTCTGCAACATTTAGGAGTGATTTTTGATAGGACTCCATATGAAATGCATCTCTCATTTTCAGAGAGACAATCCCTCAGTACACCTGAATCAAATGGATCGACTGTGGGAACACATTTCTGTACTAGTGCCTTAGTTCAGAAAACCTATGCTCATGCTTCTCTCCTGAATTGACAACATAGAAGAAATCACTATGCTGTGCTTTGGACAGTAAAAGTCACCATACTTACCTGCAATCAGTGTCGCATAGGTCACCTTGCCATCTGCATCCACATTTTTATTATAAAATAAAATGATACGACTTCTGACGTACTTGATTTGGAAGTAATTGTCACCTGAGACTGAGACAGAAAAAGAAACACTTGAAAACTTCTTGGTCTTTACCAACAGGACTTAAAATAAGCATATAACAGTGCTGCCACCACATCAACATTTATAGCAGTTCAGCTCCCAGTAGCCAAGCTATGGAACCAACCTAGGTGCCCTTCAACAATTGAGTGGATAAAGAAAGTGCGGTCCATATGCAAAACAGAATATTACTCAGTCATAAAGAAGAATTAAATCATGGCATTTGCCAGTAAATGGATGGAGCTGGAGAATACCATGCTAAGCAAAATAAACCAATCCCCCAAAAACCCAAAAGCTGAAGGTTTTCTCTAATCCAGAGATGATAATTCACAATGGGAGGGGGCTAGGGAAGAATAGAGGTATGTTGGATAATGCAGAGTAAAGGAACTGAAGGGGGCATGTGTGTTACCCTATGTACACATATCACTACATGACCCGCGTGATTTTACATGAAGTATAACCAGAATAACAAGATATTATAGTCCATTATATATGATTATATATTGATATAGATATACATAAATACAGATATAGACATGCACACACACACATATAGATTTGTATAAGTACATATCATAAAAATGTCACATTTATATTTTTACATACATATAAAGTCTAAGTGTATAAGTAAGCATATATACATATGCACATGTAAATATGCCTAGTTGTATTTTATTAAATCATGTTGCTGTATATTCATGTCATTTTTTTTAAGTTTCAGGGATTGAACTCAGGGGCACTCAACCCCTGAGCCCCATCCCCAGCCCTATTCTGCATTTTATTTAGAGACAGGGTCTCAATGAGTTGTTTAGCACCTCACTTTTGCAGAGCCTGGTCTCCAACTTGCAATCCTCCTGCCTCAGCCTCCTCATAGATGTAGAAGTGTCCACATGGGAACCTGAGATGATATGACCTTATTCTAACTCTCTCTGGTGACTCCAATGCTCACTATTTTACTAGATTTTCCAAGGTTGCATGAACAAGTCAAAGCAGAAAGGTCCGGAGCAGCATCCACACATGGTGGTATCTGTGGTCCCCAGGACCACGAATTGTCATGCACATCAAGGTCTGGGTCATGCAGAGGCCAAAAGAGCAAATACTCACAATCAGTTTCATAGACCTCATTAGCGCCTTTGATTCCCTCGACTGAGAACTTTTGACACTCTCCGTTCAACCTTAGAAACAAACCAAGAGAAGCCTCCTTTGACTCCACTATTTTTGCAAAATCTTTTATATTTAACTTGAAGAAGGTAACTGAGATGGGAACATCAATTGATGATGTCACTCTTCCATGCATTTGATGTCCCCATGTAATGGGAGGTTTCTGGGTGTTCTAGGGCAGGGTTTCTTGACCTTGATGGTTCCTAACTCTGGGTGGGATGGGTCAGGTTGTGTTGGAGACTCCTGGACATTGTCCAGCAGTATGATCACTAGCCTGGACCCAGCACATAACCTTAGCTCTCACTGCCATTGGGACACCATAGAGATCTGCAGGTCTGAACACGTAGCCAGTAGAGGGGTTTGCAAGGGGACTCCCACTTCAGGATGACAAGAGAATATATGCACATTCCTATGCACACATTCATACTACAGGTGCATAATATTTCTGTGCATATGCATGCATACATAATAGATGCACCATATATCTATATCTTACATTTAATAATGTTAAAGCATTAAGATGTTACATAATATTCCACCTATACAATTTATATACACATACATGACATTAATAAATCATTAATAAATTATTTTTTTCTTCTCATAATATCATGGCCCCAGATCTCCTATAAAGGTCCCTCCTTAATTCTGCATTTCTCACTCTTGGTGCTAACACTTTAACTTGAGGTAATGCAGGATACCATTATTTGCAAGAATTTCTGAATAGCCAGGGATGGTGGGAGGTTCACAGACATAGTCCTGTGGCTATGGACCCAGACGTAAACAGACTGTATTTGCACCTCACACACAGACCTGAGGATGCAGATCCATTATTGACATCTCAAACTTCAGCTCCCACTCGAGGTCACGATTCACTATTTTACCAGGACTTGTTTGGTGGGTCACATAGTATTTTCAGATCTGTTTTTTACCGTCAGCATGTTAAGGGATGCATGTTTGAAAATTTCCATGTCCAATTGGTAATGACAGTGCTGCTCTGAATCCTATCAGATCTCTGCCTTCCTATGCATACTTCTCATTTTTCCCCCTTGGGTCTTGGTTGGAAAATATTCTTAAGTCTTTAGTGATGTAATTGTCATATTTATGTTTTACTTCAAAGAATGATATAGATGTTTATTTATTCACATTTGGTGATTGGATTAAACACTGAGTAATTGTTATGCACATTGATGTCGATTTAAACCATGAAAATGGGACATTAGATACACATGTACATGCAACACGTATACATGCACATATAGAGAGAGGGTTTGTAATTATTTTTGCAATACTATCACAATGTCTTTATGTTGCTCATCATTCTACAAATATTAACTTCCTTCCGGAAGCATATATTGATTGATTCCATATCATCATAGAAAATATCAGCTGGAGAATCATGATCGACATGGATCAATGTACAGATCCTGCTCTTTTGAATTCATCCTTAAAGCTAATGGGTGCAATCTATTGGCAATAGACAGAGAATGGAAGGAGTCCAACACACATGCTGGGGTCTGATGCACCGTTGCCGTCAGCTTGGAATTCCAAGGGAAGAGTCTTTGCTCACTGTCTCGGGGTCTCTATGTTAAGGGATGTGGTTCAACAGAAGCTCAAAACCACAATCTCCTTCAGGAAAAAGAGAGGTCAGAAGACTCCATTCTGTGAGCATCATCGAGACGTCTCACCATGGATTGGAGCCCAGCCCATGTGTCAGAAGTGAACTATTCAATCCTCAACATGGGGACAATTTTCACTTACTTGAGGTAGAAGGTGATGAGTAACTTGTCACATTCATCAACACATTCAAGGTGACGGAGGTGGACTCTCAGGTCTCCACCTTGTTCAATCTTCTCTACATTATTAGCTCCCATGAGAATACTACGCCAGTCTCCGTTGATCTGCAAAGGAAAGGTCCCCTGGGAATGGCTGCTGGCTCCTCCTTCTCGTCTCTCATCCACACTTATTAGAACCATGGCAG